GGAGAGAAAACAAGATATAGCAGAACCGTATTTACTCCACTCCGAGGTAATTGAATGACAGAGCAACTTATATCCAGCAGAAACTTTATGCCTCCTCTAGTACTTTAGAGGACCAGGGAAAACTGTTATCTCGCTTTCCCTAAGAAACAGTTCCCCATGGAAAGACACCAATCTAAGACTCTAGAGACATCTTTACAAATTATCATTACAATTCAGAACGTTCATTAAGTGGGAAGAAGCATATTTACAAGGACTAGGAAACAAGTTCCAGGAGCAGCGCGAGTATGTGTGTGTGTGTGTGTGTGTGTGTGCGCACTTGTAAATTAGCCCCTTGGAATCTGCAGAATCGCAGCATATCTAGGTCACTGCAGGATTTCGACATTGTACAAGAAAAATTCATCAGCAAGCAAACGAACTTAGATCCAAATACAAAGGCAAAAGAATAGGTCCATTCCTTAGCAAGGGCCACCGAAAATATATTCAGTTAGAACCTCAGTTTATGAGGTTTGCCTCTTTTCATTTAAATTCATCAATAATTCATTTGGTCCTATTATTAGGTAACATTCTCCCTGTCACCCAGGGTGTGGGGTCGTAAAATAGCTCGGAACAGTATGTCCAAAATAAGACACAAACTCAGTATTGCAGTGATCCACCTTCTCAGACAATGCAGAGTTACCGGTTAGCAGGAAAAATCATAAACACTCTGACTGCAACATTGGAACATACCGAGGAAACAAGATGTTTCCATGATGACCTCTAGTTTGATGCAGAGCTCAAAGCTAACAATACTCTCACTCAATAAACTGAATAACAGTAAAAATTTAGGATAGAGCACTTTTTAACACAGGCATCACTTGATTAAAAACGATAACAGTAAAAGAGCAATGTATAAGCACACAAAGCAGACCAGCCTAATCTTAAGGCTATATCACTTCAAGTAGTCCTCTTTTACTATGTTCATGCCCAACTATGCCGTTACGCACAGAGGGAAAACTGCCACCATGCCTGAAGCATATAAATTTTTAAATTGCCACAGTAATTTCATTGCTAGTGGATTTTTTAGTTTTTTATTAAGTTCATTGTTAGTTACTGATATTACAAAACATTTGATTATGACAAATTACCAAATGCCACAAATACAAAAGGAAGGGGAGATACAGATGCACAAAATTACCCAAGCATTGTCATCTCTATAATATATTTCAAACACTAAGGTACAAAAAATCAGCTTGAATAAGGAAACTTTCATATCCTAAAATTCTGTGGCTACCAAGCAAACAAAAAATAAATACTGACCTAACCCTAACAACCTAGACCTAGCTATTAAATTGTACCTGCCTTGGCTGTCGAGAGCCCTAGACTACCAAAAAGCGGGAATATCCACAGGACTTCTACACCAAGAAGCACTTGGTGGCTGTTATATAAGCATTTATACATACATAAGAAGGGGGATAAAATGAGTACACCTGAAATAGTTTTTCTCCTATGCAGAGATCCTTAAATTTCTTATGATTATCTAGTTTCTCCAGCAGTGACAATCCTTTCCTTTTCCTGAAGGAATTTTCTTAACTTTAACTGTGGGGGTGGAGTAGGATGGGAGAGTTAATGTTCTTAGAAGTAGCATAAAATTTACCAGACGCTCCATACTCGAGAACTGACTATCAAATCTATTGTTTAAACTTAACAGGAAGTTTCTATCTTACACATGGAACATACCATTCATGATAGCATTTCAAGCACAGGGCGTGATTGCATTTGGGAAGGACAATTTTGCTGTTCATTTCCATGCAGATTCCACATTCGTCTTCCCTTTCAATGTCCGAGTCAGAAGACTGTCTGTAATCCTCATCATCTCTTCTCCTGTATCTCTCCGAGCAAACTGCTTTTTGCTTTTTGTCTTCTGAATCCGTAACACCTCTTTCAAGTTGAAGTAAGGAGGGATAAATAACAGCTGCACAAGATTAATGATTATTCGAAACCATTATCCAGCACAGCTAATTTATCTTAAGAGTTTACGTGATTGTATCAAATGAAGGAAAATGTAGAAACTCACCATAGAATTCCCTAATGCTTGCTTTCCTTTCATGAGTTGACATGGTTGTGGTGCCATCAACATAAACCTAGAGCAAGGAACAAGAGAGTGATCCAATGCCACGGTTATTGCACACAATAAACAGTTTGATATAGAGGGGTTTAGCAATGCATGAACAGGAAAATGCAGACCTTGTAAATTAGAATTCTCAATAATCCAAGGGCACCAGCAAGGTGGCAATCAGTCCACTGCACTAAGAAAAGGAAGAGGTGCGCAGCTGGACTGTAGGACATTCGCATCTGTAGGCAAGCTCCATCGTACTCTCTGGAAAAGTCAGATGCTCTGCACCCCAAATTCCAACAATCAGACTCTAAATGACAAAACATAGAAGGACCAAATAAACACTGAATTACCTGGTCCAGACAAACATGTTCACCATACAGAACAAAGGAAAGTCATCAAACCAACCTAACCGATTTAAAAAACCCCTAAATAAAGGAAAGGGTGGGAGAAAAAGAAAACGGAAAACTTGAAATGAGGAAAAATACAGAATGCGACAATTTACTTCCTTCTGCTATTGTTTAGCTATGTAACCACATTGCAACAATTTAATTTTCAACGAAAGAAACAACTTCACACGAATGGATTTAACTTATTAAACTCCTTACGCTATCACCATATTTTAACATATTGTATTTGGTAACCTGCCGTATTACGGTTAACTATATTACTCTTTTACATGACATGATAGTATAGAAATTTTTACATTGTCAGTTGTATAAAACCAATTAATTAAACTCTACCCAAATATGCAACTCCAGGCCCCATAACCCCACCCCCATCCCCACCGCACCTAAAAAAACCCAGCAGAATTCCCTTGGAGCAGGTATCATAATGGATAAAGTTAAAATGAAGGTAGGCCTTGGAATCATAAACAAAGGCTACATAATCATAATAATGTAATAGTGTTTAGCGGCTTTTACAAGCTAAGCATCAGATTAGCATTAAAAATGATACCTTTATCTCTATTTGAAGCAATCAAAGAAGTGAACTCCAAACAAACACTGATAACAACCATAGTATCAAATGCGCTACACTTCTAAACACAGTTAAACAAAAAAAGGAAAAGCAAAAGGGTAAACACGTGTCATCACTGCCACAACATCTTAGCAAATCTAACCCCAGAACGAAAGAACATATAGGAAGAAAGGGGAAAAAATCAAATAATGTCAGAAATAAAAATCAAAAAGCAGAAAAATCAGAGAGAATGAAGCTTCAAATTTTTTAACAAGAAACAAAAACCCATATCAGAAAATTTTCGTTCTGAACAAAATATGACAGCAAACAAATCAAAAACAGAAAAAAACACTTGAGAACCGAAATATCAAAAGAAAAGGGAAAAATAAAAGTAGACTTGAAAATGGTGTGGAACCATAAAAATCCTATAGTGCACAAAAGGGTTTTATGGATATGCAGTAAATTATAGAAAACAACAACAAAAATGGATAAACAGAGCAAAAAAAGAAGAATGAAAAAAAGATGGTTTTTTTAAAAAAAGGAAGCAGGACTTACAGAGTATTAGCATGCTGAATATCAGCTTCAAGAACTTTGAGAGAATCCTTAAACGACCTTCGCATTGGCCCTCCTATTCCTATTCCTCCCCTATTCATAATCCCAAAAAAGAATAAACTGAATTATTATTATTATTATTATTATTATTATTATTATTATTATTATAATACTAGCAACCAAACAGCCTTTATCATCACTACTAATCCACTTCTCTAAAACCCCTTTTTCTTAATTCTCTCAGTTGAAAGAGATTCTTCGGATATTGATTTTTCCCAAATTGTGATGACTCTGATACAGAATCCTGGGCTCTTCTATTCTCTTCTAAACTTCTTCTTAACTATTACTGTGCAGCGGAAGAAAGAGAAAAATTGGAGGAGGAGTTGTTATTAAAGGAAACGTGGACTTACGCTGCTGACACCCGATGAGGATTGAAAAGTAAATATCTGAAGGGCAAATTTGGAATTTTAAGTAAAGATAATGGACCACTAGCACTGACTTCATTGTGAACTCAGCGCAACTTAAATTACTACTCCTTTGACCACTTTTACTTGCGCAATTGTTTTCTTTGCAATCCCTTAATAAATATTACCTTCGTTCGTTCCGATTTACGTGAATCGGTTTGAATGAGTACAAAATTTAAATTTTTTTTTGAATTTATAATCCTAAACAAGTTAAAATAGGATCTAAAATATTTGTGTGGTTATAAAATCCTCTTATTAATGATCAAATTGAAAATTTAAGCTAATTTATTTCTAAATTTAAAAAGGAATCATTCTTTTTGGAACATGTCAAAAAAGAAATAGGTTCATGTAAACTGGAACGGATGGAATAATAAATAAAGTGTATAATCTATCATAATACTCATATTAAATAATATATTTGAAAAATGACTTGCATGGAGTAATTAATATTAAAGGATAAAATAAAATAAAAAAATTATTTTTTCTTGATATGTGAAAAGTAAGAAGTAAAATTGAAAATTTAATTTTTAAAATACTTGATAATTAAAAGTGAACGGAGGGACACCCTTTTACCCTTTTAATCTGTCCATGAACTGTGTCACCGAATGAGACAATATGTAACTGAAATTTGAAACAAAACGTATTTAAAGTTGAGAATGGAAAAGAATATTTGAAAGTTATATTGTTTTTTTTTTAAAGTGAACTTTTAAATTTGAAGTACTTCTCAAATTAGATTTTAAATTTTAAATTGAAATTAGAGATAATATATCAGATTGTATTACAAACTTATTTGATATTCTACAACTTATTAGAAACTACTTTATGCAACTTTTAAGCAATGTAAATTTTTTTCAAGTGTCAGAAATTAAAGTAGCATAAAATTAGACTTGATGAACCAAAATAATATAGAAAATAAACAAGAAATAAAATTACATATAGTGCATACATGCATGTAGTTCAATTTCTACATACTTTATTTTCCAACTCTTTATTTCATCTTGTATACTTTTATATGATATTTTAAGCAAACAATAATTTTGTAGAGTTTCTTTAATCTGAAAGTCGATTTTGAAATCCTAATATCACCATTTGAAGACAAACAACTATTTCTATAGTAGAATAATTTTCAATCATTCTTTTGATATTTACTTTGGTGAGAAGTCAAATTAATATTCTTACTCCATATCTAATTTTAAAAAAATTGTCATATATTAATATTCTTACTTCGTAAAGATAATGTACTAAACAACACTGACATGATTGTAAACAGGGTTTTTCAGTCAGTGAGATGTGACACTCTTCTATTTTTTCTCTCTTTGTTCTCTTCCCTTTTTATTCTCTTTTCTTTTTCTTTCTATTTTCCGTTTTTTTCTTTTGTTTTTGTTTGGTTAGTTTTGTTTTTGTCTGCCACTTTACCCTCAACTTTCGGTTGCTTTCCCTCCACGCACCGATGACCATGACCCCACATCCTTCTTTACTTTTACCCTTTTTATTCCTGTTATTTACCACTCTTGCCCCC